CCTTGGTGCTCTCTAGCTTGATTGTTTTCTTGCAGAGGTTTCATTACCCAAACTAGGTAATATCACTAGTGGTAGTATGGGAATGGACTTTGCTTTCAGTTTGTATTATATTTGACTTGTTCTGTCAGTGTTGGTGGAAGTGGTTTTGATGTGGTGGGGTGCGTTTTTTTTGGGGAGGGTTGGGTTGTTTATTGTTCACTTCTTGATTAAACATCTTTAACATAAGCATCACTTATGCTTATAAATAATGCAATTACTTTTTAGAAGTAAATGTATATGAGGGCTGCCAAAGTAACAATTGTAAATTTACTAGCAAGAACATCTTATTAAACATGAGAACATAAGAGTCACCTTGTAGTAAGATGGGCATCAAATAAATTTAATAAATAAATAAAAATAATAAAGCTGCTTTAAAGAACAAACGTTCTGTGTTACTATGTTTTTTATTTTCAGAGTAATAGGTTCACTGGCAGTATTTCTTAATCATTAATTTTTATTTGTTATTTGCCTTTTATGATGGATAAACAATAATTTAAAAAGAAAAATAAATAAATAAACCTAGCACTCAATTGTTTCTAATACACATACTAATCATAATATTTAGTTGTACCAGCTGTTCACACAATCCCAAATTGTGATTACTAAACTGCCATTATTTGGGTTTAATAATTTTACTGTTTGATGAAGTGTACATAAAGGAAAATTTTAAACATAAGTTAATTGATTTTGTAGGAAGAAAAAATATAATAAGATTCCTTTGTTGAACTGAATTACAGGCTTTTCAAAGGTGTTTAAGTAAAATCTTGACATAAAAACTACTGGTGAACAGATAATCTACAGAAAGGCATTTCCTGAGGTTGCTGAACAATTAAATATTAATTAAAAAAATAATAATCCTGAAAATTCATTTTGTCCCTTGAAAAGAATGAATGGAATTAATAATTGAAGGACGTCCCTGAAGTTAAATAATATTTTAATTATTAAAATAGTGAACTTTGCTGACCACAAGTCCTTGAAATAAATGAAGGATAGATGAAAGAGGATTTAGCATTTTTAACCAAAGCCTGATTCTTTTTTTTCCAAACTGAGTTTGCCATTTGAAAGTAAGAAAACAATAAAATGGATTACAAAACTTACTGTTTGTATTAAATGAAATCCTGCCATTCCAATGAAACCTTTTTCCTAAAAGTATTCCTCTCAGTTATTACTGTCCACTCTCTCGTATTTCAAGCCCAAACTAGGTACGATGTATTTAATAAAGTTAAGCAAAAGTAGATTAACCTCTTTTTTTAAAATTAATTGAATCAGGCTGCATCTTGATGAACTTTGTTAAATCCCTCTTGGCATTTGTACTTCCCAGAATAAGATGCCAGCATTTAAAAACTGCTTAATCCATCCACCCCTCTGGGCATGCTTGATCACACTTTAGGTTTTAACATGCTGGCAATTTTAAAGGTCTACCGTGTATGAACTAGAACTAATTCAATATCCAGAATTTGTAAAAGACGTTTCATTCAAAGTATTTCCAAAATAGGAAGAAGAATTGTATGCAGTTCTTGGCTATTTTTTATTTTTATTTTTTGCCTTGTAGAAATCTATATTTTATAGGTCTGGATTATAATCGATGTAGCAGAAATTATTTAAAAGAGGGAAAAAAAGTAATTCTCAGAGTTTTGAATAGGAAAAAATCAAACACAAATGTTAGCTCAAAGGTGCTTTTTTGTTCAAAAGGCAACTGGACTATTTTTTTTTCTTCAAGGAAGAAGAAGATTTTTCTTCTTTTCGTTTTTTTCTTCTTCCTCAAAGAAGAAAAAAAAATAGTTCAGTTACCTTTTGAAGAAGAAAGCACTTTTGAGACAACTGTGACCTAGATGACTGAGAATCTCCACATACAACACGAGTGATAATTATACAAATCAGAAATATTTGATTTGTTCAACACACTTATTTTGACTCCAAACTAAAAAGCATTGCTAGGATTGTCCATCACAGTTGTGGGTATGTGATTTGTTGAATTCCTGTAACAGTTTCTATCCACAATAGACTGCCGCATTCCTGAGAAACGTCAGCTCATATATCTTACAAAACACACAATATATCTGGAAACACATCATTTCATGATTCCAAGTAGAACTCCAGTAAGGAGGAACTTCAAATAACCGCCAAGTAAACCATCTGCAATTAACAGCTACCAAATGACACAATCACAGTCTTTTGGTTTTATAATGAAATTTGTTCCCCGAAGTGACTTGGCTGTTATTAAAACTGACTTTCATATCAATTTTTAAAAAATCTAATAAACATTACAAAGAAAAGGTGCCTTTTTTAAACAAAGAAATTCTGGGCATTGACATAGACTCCTATACATAAATTATTTCTTTGAGATCTATGAATCCACTCAAGGATTCCACTCAATCAGAAATCCTAACTAGAAAAGTGGCTACTAAATCAACGGATCCATGAGCTGAGAAGCTATTTCCACCTCTGTTACTTTAACATAATTGTTATTTTTCACTGTTAATATTTTTATTATTGTTCTGCTTTCTCACCTCCACACATTTAGGCAATAATCAGGCAGCTGAAGATAAACTGGCCTAAAAGCACCAATTTTTAGAATTATGTTTCTTTTTCTTGAATCCAATGTTATGCGTTTCCAGGAGAATCCCTTCCTACATTCAGCCTTTTTCTTCAACTGCTTAGCATTTAAATCAGCAAACGTTTATTTGTTAGTGGACTCTAATCTAAGCTGTACCCAAGCAGTATGATTGCCATCCAAATGTCTAAGTCAGGGGTCTCCACACTTGGCAACTTTAAAAACTTGTGGACTTCAATTCCCAGAATTCCTCACCCAGCATGAACGGCTGAGGAATTCTGGGAGTTGAAGTCCACAAGTCTTAAAGTTGCCAAATTTGAAGTCCCCTAGTCTAAATTATGGAAGGCACTTGAGCTGTCTGAAGGAGATCAAGCAGGACACCTCAACATTATCATATCCAGCATTTAAAACAAATATCAACATTCCTTCTAAGCTGGGAATGACACTGATTGAAAGCAGGACTTGAACTGTTTCCAGATGCATTTTGCCTGTGTAATTGCTCACTTTCATTTCTGAAACACACACATTAAGACCTTTCACAGGTATCTTACTCATTTTTAATGCCCCCCCCTTTTTTTTACAACTCAACATACATAAGAGAAGAGAACTCCCTTGAGGAGCACCCGGAGGTTCCAACTGGTGCAGAATGCAGCCGCGCGGGGGATGCGCTCCCATGTGACACCTCTCCTGCGTGAGCTGCATTGGCTTCCAGTGGTCTTCCGGGTGCGCTTCAAGGTGTTGGTCACCATCTTTAATGCGCTCCATGGCATGGGACTTGGGTATTTGCGGGACCGCCTTCTGCCGCCGATAGCCTCCCACCGACCAGTACGCTCCCACAGAGAGGGACTCCTCAGGGTGCCGTCAGCCAGGCAATGTCGGCTGGCGACCCCCAGGGGGAGGGCCTTCTCTGTGGCAGCTCCTGCCCTCTGGAACGATTTGCCCCCAGAGATACGAAGGATATCGGATCTCCGGGTTTTTTGCCGTGCCCTAAAAACTTTTCTTTTCCATCAAGCAGGGCTAGCGTGAAACCCCTCCCCCCTTTTTTAGTCTTTTTAGCTTTTTTAAATTGTCAAATGGGTTTTAGTTTTCAATGTTTTAAATTTTTGGGCCACAGTTATTTAATTCTTTTAATAATTTTAAATTTTGTATTGATATGTGTTTTAATTCTGGCTGTGCACCGCCCTGAGTCCACTTGGAGAAGGGCGGGATATAAATTGAATAAATAAATAAAGATGTCTCCCCTTAGCTAGTGTTGTGTTGAATTGGGTCGTCCATGACCTTTTTTTACAATTTTCTCCAGCAACAGGTGCTAAAATAGTTTTGATAAACCCTCATAAATAGGTTTCATACATTTGATAGAAAGATAAACTTTTTGAAAATCACAGAAAATATAATTTCTTACAAATAATAGTAAGACAAGGTCAATGCAATCCAAAGCTCTATCTTGACAGTAAACCATTTGAAGATTGGTTCTGTGCATGTTTACTCAAATGTAACCTGGACTTTGTGAAAGGAGAACCCCAAATAGATGTGGGGATAGTTGTGTGTAGCTAGATAGATGTTTGGGTGACCTGCAGAAGACTAGAAGTCAAAAATTCTTGCCATTTACTTAACCATCAAAACAGCTGATTTGTTGATCATTGCCTATAAACTAAGTTGCTGAAAATAATAATAAATGTTTGAGAAGAAGCAAGGGGAGGAGTTTTGGGTGAAAGGAATTATGACCTTGGCTCTGGTCCAGGGATCACAAATTCCTAGCCTGATTATGTTCCCAGAGGCATTCTGTTATTAATTAAGACCAAATATATCAGGGTTCTCCAAACTTGGCAACTTTAAGACTTGTGGACTTCAACTCTGGCTGAAAAACTCTGGAAGTTGAAGTCCACAAGTCTTAAAGTTGCCAAGTTTGGAGACCCTGATATATATCCTTACAGATTCTGAATGGTTGGGCTCAATATCCTAGTTTTAAAAAGTAAATCCCACAAATACGAAGATTTCACAGAATGATGCCCAGTGTGCCACATTTGTTTGATCATCTCCTGTTTTCATTATGACTCCAACAGGATGTGATATCTGAATTTCTTGTCAAAAATGAGAATCATCCTCTGCCTTATCTAGATCCCTATGACCAGTGCCAAAATCTCATCTTCTTTTAGCCAGTATCAGTTATCCCCTAGCTGCTTAACTCTGTATATGTACATCCTCAACAGTAGAGCAAAAGGACAGGGGAGTACAAAAATAACATCGCTCATACCTCATAAATTACCTATATATGACTTAACTCAGAGAGACTTGACGTAAATTCCTCATTAACGTCAGATTAAGAACTCATCTAGAATCTCAGATATTCACTCCTCATCACACAACCCCACATTCTCATTGGCCGGTGTATTTATAATTTACTTACCAATTGGCATGATTACAAAGAAAGGAAGCCAACACAGGATGAAACATCCCACAACTATTCCCAAGCTTTTGGCTGCTTTCTTCTCCCGAGAGAACTTTAGAAGCCTTACGGAAAAATTGGATTTGTGCTTGGTGGAAGGGGTAGCTCCTGAAGCTTCAGTGTTGTTCTTGCGGTGGATGCGGAGAGTCACTTCTTCTGAACGGGACTTCTCAGTCTTCAGGCCACATGACAATCCTTTGCTTTCCCTTCTGGCTACCATGTATACCCGGCAATACATCACCAGTATGATGACCAGGGGGAGATAGAAGGATCCAAGAGCAGAAAACAAGACATAACTTGGGGCAGTGTTGATCTGGCAGCTTTTTTCATCTTCTGGAGCTGGTTGTCTCCAGCCAAAGAGGGGACCTATGGATATCACAAGTGACAATGCCCACACACACAGCAGAGCCAAGAGGCCTCTTTTTTCGGTGACTATGGCTGGGTATCTCAGTGGGTAACTTACTCCAATATATCGGTCTATAGAGATGACACAAAGGCTCATGATGGAAGCTGTGCAGCACAGAACGTCAACAGCTGCCCAGAGGTTGCAGAAGATCCTCCCAAAAGCCCAGTAGCCCAGAATGTCCAAAATAGCAGAAAAGGGGAGAACAGTAGAAGTCAAGAGGAGATCAGCCACAGCCAAGTTGATAATGTAGTAATGGGTTACACTTTGTAGATGTTTGTGACAGGCTACTGAAAGGATAACCACAATGTTGCCCAGGACCCCAAAAACAATCAGACCTCCAAAGATGACTCCTAATAATATGGCCTTGGAAATATTTACTTGCTCCACAGTCTGGGTGCAATTGAAGCACTCAGGAGCAGAGATATTCTCAGAGGTCAGTCCCATTATCAAAACTGGTTAATGTTCATCCAGTGTGTTTGTGGTTCTCTCTGCCCTTTTTTTGAAAGAGCCAAGAGCAAATATTTGGTAGTGTTGGGAGAAGCTTTATTTCCACATTGTAGATAGAAACTAATTGGAAATACTAGTCTGGCTTCTTTATAAATGCAGAGGAGAGAGCAAAACCCTAGACTAATGAACATATTTGAAAATCCACATTTCTTCTTTTGCATTTGCTCTGAAGAAAAAACACAGGCGTTTCTTGTCCCATAAATAATTCCAAAGCAATTATAATGGTTCTCTTTGGAACAGTTTCTTTGAAGTTTACCATACCTTGCTGGACGTTTGATGATGAAACCATATTAAAGATTGAGCTAAAGACCCTTTTCTTAGTTGCTGTTTAGTTTTTAAAATAATACCCATTGAGCCACAAGATGCTTTTTGTGACTAAGCAAGGAAAATTGCAGTGGTAGAAAGGCCATCAACTTCCAGACTGTTTAAAAGTTCTTCATGGAAAGATGCAGCGCAAATAATAGCAGAGTATTCTTTCCTCTTTCTTATGTCTTCTTCGTATTTGATTTGAAAAATCTTCCCAGGTGAAAGAAGATTGCTGTCTGTCACTCTGGCTGACACTTCTCAACGTCTAGTCTTTTCATCCATGACTAACTTTATGATTCCAAGTTGCCAAAGAAGCTGTAATAATTCTAAAGTTGTGATACCTTGACCCAGCATATCATCCTTTTAACAAACAATGGTTATTGACCTGCTAGGAACTCGGAGGAGATGGTGATCTGTGCTCTTCTGCTTGACAGTTGAGATCTTTCCTAAAGAAGTCAAAAGGAGAAAGCACATTTCAAACACCAGGCTTCTTATTGGGCAAATATCCCGATGGCAACATTTCCCCAAAATTAGGAATCAAACATTAATGAGTTTTTATCATTGCGTACAGACTGCTGTTGACACTGCTTGCTCATCAATTGATGCTCCTCAGCCTGATTGCTTCTTACGTTTTTTTTTTTCATCAAATCACACCTCTGAATCCTAGGCAATAAAAATGTTGATCTCTGACAAATTGGCCATTGATTACCCTGCAGCCCCCCCCCCCCCGCCGGGAGAAAATAAAAAGGCAACATTGGGTCTTTTAGAACAAGCCTTCTTTCAGTTAACTCTGCAGCTTTATGTTAAGAAGAAATCACCGATATCTCCATGTTAGTTTGCAACACAACAGAACCAATATTCCAGTGGTTTCTCTTCCTCTTCCTGCTCTGCATTACAAATGAGCCTTACGTTAACTGAAAGGATAACAGAGAAAGCTCCACTTGCCATCTGAGATGCATGGCTGAAGTTGCGATGCTTACTAGGTATGGAATTCTCTTTGCAGCCCAGTTTTTATTTGGTCTGGTCAAAACAGATTGATAGGTATCAGGGAATGATCTGTTTGAAATATCTGAATTTAGCTCGGGGCTCAGTAAGAAATACCTTCGGCATAGATGATGTCTATTGTAATACACATGCAGGAGATCCCAGGGCCAGATTTGGGGATCTCTAATTAAAAGGAACAAATAACAATGACTATAAAGACCAATTGCTTATCTAAAACTTCTAAAAGTGAAGACGAAACACTATTGGACTGTATGTCTGATTTGGCAAAATAAAGCTTCTCATGTTTCAAGGTTAGAATATTGGGCATTCATGGAATGGAATGGAATGGAATGGAATGGAATGGAATAGAATAGAATAGAATAGAATAGAATAGAATAGAATAGAATAGAATAGAATAGAATAGAATAGAATAGAATAGAATAGAATAGAGGTTTTGAACAAATGCATGTTTTCAAGAAAGCAACAACATGTCATTCCTGGTGTCTCAATTAGGTTTGTATATTAGACCACAATAGAAAATGTATCCTTGGTGAAATCAGTACATGCATTTCTCTCTACAGAGGACAGATCAATATCTCCACAGATTCAGTTTTGGGTGCTCCAAATAAGCGAGCACAGGAGTTAGTTGCATAGTTTACTCATTTAGTGTCCACAGATTTTAAAATTCCCCTCCTTTCCCACCATGCGAAACCCAAGCAATCATCCTATTGTGTAACCATGAAATACCGATATCTCTTTTCTTCATAGATTCTCAAGAGTTTTTCTTAGTCTCAGTTTCTTTAACTTGGGTTTGGCTAATCTTCCTTTGGGATTCCAGATTTTGCTGTATTCCAAGTTCAATTAATGCTAGTCAGAATGGTTAGAGGTGTTGGGAATTATAGATTAAGAGCTCTTGGAAGTCACTAGGTTCTTTCTCTATTTTTTATTTTAGAGGTGGGCAACCATATTTTGGCAGATGGGAGGAAATAATGTTCTTATCATTAGATTAAATTTGTTACATTATAAATTATTATATTATTCTTTGGCTGTCGGGTGCTTCTGGAGTCTGAAGCTGATGCCATCAGCAACACCAGGACTGACATTTTGAAACTCTGGTTTATGGGTTGTGATCTTGAGGATTTTAATTAATTCTTAATAGGTGTGTTAAGCCTATTATGGATTTCTTTTTATTTCCCAGAAAAAAAAAGAACACAGTTGGAAATCATACCCAAGGTAATTGGTTTTTTTGCAGCCAAAATTCAGTGCAGTAATCTGGGGAAATTCCAGAGGCTATTAAAAGTTTAGGGTCCAACCGATAGCCCATCGATGTTGTCAACCCAAATTTATTAGGCAGAGAACAAAAACAATTGGCAGTGCAAAGCAGACTGATTAAGCTTGTTCTAGCAAAAGAAAACAAAAGGCATAGGACTATTCTAGACCCCTGGATTATTAGCATGGCATCGGCATCCAGAACAACGGCAAAGTGTCCTTCCAGCTACATATGGACAGTCCAAGAACTGCACCTAGCACACAAAGCATGTTTTGTGTTCCTGAGCTACGATTTCGCCAAAGGGCTGTTCCCAATTAAGAATAGCAGAGACAATAACATCACACAACTCTTATAGGAACTCTTTTCTATAAGATTAATAATAGCAGGGGGACAAAAAATGAAATCGTGCATGAGTTTGACCATGTCTCCCATAAGCAGAGTACAAATACACATGCATACACACAAGTCACAGCGGTGCTGCTTTAGAAATGATTTTTTTAAACTTAGTTTTTGTTCCTTTAGGGCTCGGGGATTTCTTTCCTACAGCATGGGTCAAATTAACAGCAAAGCTCAGAACATTGTGTTATTGCCAGTTGTTTCTGACTTGAAGGGTCATTGCTCTTTGGATACAAATGGGATTTTGCATACAAATAGTATAGAGCACAGATCTGTTGGGCGCCTTGCATTTTCTGGCCCTTTGGACCCACTGTTTACAACTGTTATCCATGTTTGTGGGTAGAAGCTTGGTCAACTAAGGACAACAATCTATCCATCTGATAAGCTAAATTCCATGCAGTAAAAAAAAAGCACCCTCCTTGTCTTTAATAGGACACACTCTTCCTGCAAATAGAAATAGAAATAGATATCCCCAAGATAACAAATGATAATTGAACTAATAATTAATAGAAGATCATTTGATTTTAAATGTGTAATTTTTGTAAAACAAAAAAACTTCATCCAGTCATATTTCTTTCCTTTAAAAAAAAAGACATTCCTTCTTTAAAAAGCTGATGATGCTTCTATTGCAATGGAGAAAATAGGTGAAAATCCAGACATACCTTTAGTGGGAGAGCATTTCTTAGCCAATTGGTAATTGAAACAATAAATGTGGCCACAACAGCACCAAAAACAGGGCTTGCGGGGTGGGATGCGACCCAGTATAAAATGTTAGGAACCGATGAATATTAGTAAGCAGTCATGCAAATAAAAACATCACAACACATTTCTAGTCAATTTTCCCTTCATTACTTCTTCTCTGTTGATTGTTGTGGACTTGGGGAATTAAATAAAGACGGGAAATTCAGAAAATGTAGGATGGAGGCATATCCCAAACAGGGAATAAAAAAAATGTTGTCAACCTTGTCAACATTACTTGGAGGACAGAAGGAAGGAAGGAAAGACGGAAGGAAAAGAAGGAAAGAGGGAAGGAAGGAAGAAAGGAAGGAAGCAGGGAAGGAAGGAAGGAAGGAAGGAAGGAAGGAAGGAAGGAAGGAAAATAGGCAGGTATATTATCTTTAGCTAAGGACTTCTTTTACATAGATATCCAAGATCTCCCTCTACTTACTTCCTTCAAGCTCCTGAAAGCCTCCTGTTGCAGGCTGGTTGAAAGGGGACGAATCACAGGCAGTCATCCGAATGGCACAGTGGGACACTTTGCTTGCAAATAACAAAAATGAAATAAATAAATCAAAAATAAATCAGCATCCCCCCTCCCCCCTAGTATATTTTGATGACTCACAATTACATGAATTCCCTCTGTCCCAATGGCTAAGGGTGGCTGAGTGCTGGTTTTATGATGCCTCCCTCTTCCTCGGTGAATAATGCTCCCCTGCTCGACTGTCAAGGAGAAGCAGTAACTTTACTGTGCTGTAGGAGCCGATGCAGGCAGCACTACGGTCCCTGTTGTGATTTACCGTAATCTCTTGCTGGTTACCGTATTTCAGCACCAGAAAGGGCACTTCTGACAGTTGTCAACATTTTTTTCTGTTGACTCCTCTTTCTTTTCTTTCCCTCCCTCTCTTTCTCTCTCTCTCTCTCTCCCTCCCTCCCTCCCTCTTTCTGTCTGAGTCTGCTTGACAGCTGTGAGCAAATACTGGTTACTCAGTCTGCTTTAAAGAAGGGGGAAAAAGAAACTAAGTGGCAAAGGAATACAACAGCAAGCTGGTGAGAAGCTAGTTAGCATTTACACACCAGCTATCATATTTATGCTGAGTGTTTGCACATTCTGAATTACAGATAAATGCAGTTTGTTAAGGGGGAGGGGGAAGAGGGGGAGGGGGAAGAAAGGAGTAACAAGATTGTGAAGAAAAAGATGTACATTGAGTAAGTGGGTAGGTGTGTATTTGTAGAATGTCAATTGCCATTGACTTTGACAATGAGATTCATACCAAGAGGGAACCCAATTGTTCTTGTTGAAAGAACATGTTTTATTTTAGAAGAGAATATATGTAGCTCAGGATTGAACTATGGAGTCCTTGGTTGTCTCTGCGAATGGTTGTTTGCTTGCAGGTGATTTATGATTGACTAGATAACATCATTGGAGCACTGGTAATGTTAACTACTCAGATACTGAAATGTTTGCAAGCAAAACAACCAAGCTCAGAGAGCACCAATGACACCACATGCTTTATTTTGGCAAAGAATCAAGGTTGTTTTTGAACCTTCTTCCCTCACCTTCCTATCAGAACCTTCTGTCCAAGCCTTGTGTCCAGAATGAGGTAAAGATAACGGATTAACAGAGTTGGAAGGGACCTTGTAGGTCATCCAACCCCCTGCTCAAGCAGGAGACCCTACACCATTTCTGACAAATGGCAGTCCAGTCTTTTCTTGAAAGCCTCCAGTGATGAAGCTCCCACAACTTCCGAAGGCAACTTCTCTTCCATGGGTTGATTGTTCTCACTGTCAGAAAATTCCTCCTTATTTCCAGGTTAAATCTTTCCTTATCCAGTTTCCATCTGTTATTCCTTGTCTGGCCTTTGGGTGCCTTGGAAAATAGCTTGACACCCTCCTCTCTGTGGCAGCCCCTCAAATATTGGAAGACTGCTATCATGTCTCCCCTGGTCCTTCTCTTCACTAGACTAGCCATGCCCAGTTCCTGCAACCATTCATCATATGTTTTAGCTTCCAGCCTCATCATCTTGGTTGCTCTTCTCTGTACTCTTTCTAGAGTCTCAACATCTTTTTCATAGTGTGGTGACCTCTCCTAAGTCCAAGGTCTCCTTGGGTTTACGAGAGGGCATACCAGAGAAGTTGGAGGCATTTTTTCTGTAATAACTTGTCAATGAATGGGGTAAACTAGGCTGCAGGAATTGAGTTGGCATCCTGTTCCCTCCACGATGCATGCCAACATATTTGATAAGGGAGCAGCACCTTCTCCAGAATGAAACAGAGCAAAGCACCATGGTCATTCCAGCTTGCTTTTGGGTGTGTAGGACAACATTATTAATGGGACAGTGTTTAGGGAGAGCTTTACCTGAACCTTCCTCAAAATGAAGCACATCTTTGAAAATTTGCACTGTCCTATGAATATCCACCCCTCTCTCTGACTCTCTCCATCCAAATCCTTGGTTATTTTGGCCAGACATCTCTTTTACAAAAAGGCAGACTTTTATGGCTTCCCTTAATGTGATTGTTACATTTTTGATTAACTGTTGTGTGATTATTTAAAATATGCTGCTCTCTTTCAAACACTTTTGAAGCAGTTTGGCATGGAAGATCACAAAACATTTTGAAATTGGCACTAGGAAAAAAAAAATCTAAAATGGATAGGATTACATTGCAAAGTTGGAAACCTACAGAAGTGTTGAATAGAGGAAGTGTGAAGTTTCCTCCCCAAATCACTTGTTTTCTCCCCAAATCACTCCCCCAAAACATTTGGGCCTCAGTGCCTGGTGGAAGAAAAAAACAGGTCCCAGGGCCACCTGTATCCCTAGGAGAAGGTAGTTCCATAAGGTAGATGCTATAGTTCTTAGGACCCACCAGACGGCAGTTCTTCACTGAGAATATCTGGGGATAAATACTTTAAATATAGAGGCTAAAATTCTATAACTGGTCACTGTGGGCAAAATACATTCAGTACGTATATCAAAGAATTCCAGGAAAGAATACATAATATAAACATTTATTTATATAAAATGACAGTTTTTAAACATTTTGACATTGAAAGGAATCTTGCTCTGAATCATTTTCTTTTTTCGTTTAAAAGCAGCATGGTAGCAGCTGGTGTTCCCCAAAAGTGGCAGTGCTCCCCGTATCTTCCATCTGATTCTGTCAATTGTGCCCACTCAATGTTTCCTGCTGTGGCTTGAAAAAAAGAGAAAAAGAGAAAAAAACAAAACAAAACCCGGTCTGGTCATTCAATAGAGATATTTAAGTATTTCTCCCATTTTAATGACTCTGTAAGTGGGGCAGAATGCTTCAAGAGGCTTAAAGATAAAGCAGTCATTATAGAGTTTTTTTTTTTTAAAAAAAGAAAACTATATCTAAGTGAATTCCATTTATTTCTGATGCTTATAAAACTCACCATTAATTGCATTCATTTGGACTCGGAAGGAATTCCTACTGCATTCAAGGGAGCTTATTTTTCATCGTACAACCGAAACTATAGCTAAGGAGGAGGGGAACCAAGTACCATTGGCCTCCATCTGAAATCCTCCTAATCTCTAGGAATGACACAGGTGGTCCTCAATTTACGACCACAATTGAGCCCAGAATTTATGTTGTTAAGTGAGTTTTGATCCATTTTACGACTTCTCTTGCCATATTTGTTAAGCAAGTCACTGCAGTTGTTAAATTAGTAACACGGTTGTTAAGTGAATCTGGCCTTCCCCATTGCTTGTCAGAAGGTCACAAAAGAGAGTCACCTGACCCTGTGACATTGCAACCGTCATAAGTATGAATCCGTTGTCAACCATCCGAATGTAAGTCACATGACCAGGGGGATGCTGCAACGGTCATATGTGTTGAAAAATGGTCATAAATCCCTTTTTTCAGTCTCATTGTAACTTTGGATGGTCACTAAATGAACTGTTGTAAGTCAAGGACTATCTGTATACCCAAAACATGACTCTTTTATTTTATTTTCAAGTGCTGGAGGAAGGTTAGGGATAGAAGCTTTAATCAACTTTTCATGTCTTAAAACACCTGAACTCACCACAGTGTTGGAATCATAAACTGCACTCACTCACTTTTGGAGTGTAGCTCTTGATCTCTTGGACTAAGCTTAGTGCTTAATAGCAATAGGACTTAGACTTATATAGCGCTTCACGGTGCTTTACAGCCCTCTCTAAGTGGTTTACAGAGTCAGCCTCTTGCCCCCAACAATCTGGGTCCTCATTTTACTGACCTCAGAAGGATGGAAGACTGAGTCAACCTTGAGCTGGTGAGGATTGAACTGCAGGCAGCCGGCAGTCAGCAGAAGTAGCCTGAAGTACTGCATTCTAACCAGTGCATCACTGTGGCACTAAGACAAAGAACCTGGGGATCCCTATGCTAAGATATACAAAAGTGATTTAATGTTGCTTATGAGAATTATGCATATACAATTCATCTGTATGGAAAAAGCCAATCTAAGGAAATATTTCTCTTTCTCTTAAATATTCTAACTTTCAATGTTCGGTTATTTTGCTCTATGAGTTATTCTGTTCCTGATCATTGCCATTGATATTTACATGCCACGTGAATTTTATCAACCGGCTTTTATTGTTTTTTTTAAATTCAGTTATGTCAAACCAGCTAATGAAATACTGAAAACTGTTATCTAAGAAATTTAATTTTAGGATGCATGTAAATTCTGTTGATTCATTTTGACTCCCCCCCTTTTTTTTTCCTCCCTCCCCATTCTCAAAAAGTTAAATGCCAATAGTAATAAGTATAATAGCAGGAGAAAAATATATATTATATATATACTTATATATATATAACTATAATAGCAGGAGAAAAAGAAGAAAAAGGAGAAGATGAAGTAGAAACAACAATTTTATAATTTTAGAAAGCAGATTTTTAGAGCCTAAGATTATCTAGTGCTCAGTCATCATGACAGAGATGGGTATGGGATTTGTCTAAAACTAGGGTTGCCAGGTCTGCTTCCAAAAAATAGCGGACAAGCGGGGGGAGGGGGTGTTAAGTAGTAAAAAAATTAAAAAAAATTTACAATTAAATTATATATTTTCTTACAAACAATTTACAGTAGGCCGTCGTATTTGTTCTGTCGGTTTTGTTGTTGGTAATCCATGCAAAAGTAGCTTCCCAGTCTTTGATGTATTTGCACACTCCTCTCTTTCGTTTTAAAGAATTCGAAATCTCGCCGCAGTCACTCTCATCACTCGACGCCATTTTAGGTCAGTCGACACAAGCTACAATACATTTTAAAAATGTGAACTGTACATAATTTTATAATATATTTTTATTTTAATCTCATCATTAATTTTTTCGGAGAATCGAGTTCAATGGATATTCGATCTTTGTCTCATTCTAACTTATGAAAAAAAAGACAAAACGCGATTCTCCTATCCTTATTCTCTTAGACTGTACAGCTTTAGATTACGTACCATTTCATCATAAAGCTTTTGAATAAAAAAAATGTCCACTATTTTGTGGAAAAAAATAGTGAACATAATGTGAAAAAAGCAGACTGTCCGCTCAAATAGTGGACACCTGGCAACTCTATGATGAACGGTTGCAGGAACTGGGCATGGCTAGTCAAGTTAAGAGAAGGAGCAGGGGAGATATGAAAGCAATCATATCAACTGAGAATAGAAGAATAGGAAATGATCCAACCCTTTGGCTAGGTCAGGAATTTGAGCCTCTCATTTTCTTCTGGGTGACCTGGATTTTCTAAAAAAGGGGAAACAGCGATACTAATCAGAATTTAATAGTAAAGCATGTTTAATTAGATCAGTTGATGATTTAGTGACTGATTAGATTGTTTCCCCTTCTCCTGGTCATTTAACATGCTCAATTTCACTCACTTGGTCACCTCTGAGTGTTGAGGAATGTTGTCATTACCATCTATGTTCTTGGTCTAAGAATAGACAGGTAGACCTTGCCAAATTTGTCTAAGGTGCATATAATTCACTGTATAATACTATTTCTTACACTTGAAATAGTAAGTAAAATTGTAATGATTTTCACGCATAGGTTCACACATGCACATATCCATCCATTCATTTTTAAAGGTTGTTTAGCCAACATTAAAGCAGAATTACAATATCTTGGTATTTCATCATTCAGTAATTTTGGATTGTATTTATTTAATAGTTAAGTAATGCTATTTTAGCTTTTTCTAAGCTGCTTCTGTTTTCTTTGCATCCTAGACTTTCTACTGTTTTAGTCCTCCTTTATTTTGCATTTTGCCCTTTTTTCTTTTTAGAAAAATCCTCCATGCTCTGTAATCTTTGTCATGGAAGTGGATTCAATCTTGGTGTCTGATTTGAATAATTGTAATCCAGTGCTTTGTGCAAACTCAGAAAATTCAGCAAGTGCATGAAATGGAGTTCATACATCCAACCAATCAGTGGTAGGCTTTAAATTTTTTTACTACTGGTTCTGTGGGTGTGGCTTGGTGGGCATGGCTTGGTGGGCGTGGAAGGGGAAGTTTACTGCAAAATCCCCATTTCCTCCCAATCAGATGGGACTTGGGAGGCAGAGAATAGATGGGGGCGGGGCCAGTCAGAATTTTTACTACCGGTTCTCCGAAATACTCAAAATTTCCGCTACCGGTTCTCCAGAACTGGTCAGAACCTGCTGAAACCCACCTCTGCAACCAACCAATTTGTTCCTTCCTGCAAAAAAACTGGCTCTTCAGATGAATCACCAAATGGGAAAACAGAGTTCAGCCAAACAATCTTTAATCCACAACGGTCGGGTATCAAGGAAAAGCCAAGTACGGATGTAACAAAGTCAGCGCTGAATGTTAGGTTTTGTCAGTGCTTTTTAAAGCAGTGCACTGACCGCGCCCACACCCCACCCACGTACATTTATCTTTCACAGCTGCTCCTCATTTCCTCCTTTCCGAGCCGATATACTTCCGCATTTTGAGAGTTGCAGATGGCGTTGCAACTCCGTCTGACGGTTTTGTACAGGCAACCTTGACCCGCAGTCTATGTGTAAATATTAGCAACCACCACCACCAGAACCCATCAAACCCATCACCACTCCTAACCCGAATGTCTAACAACAATCCCCACTGCCTTTTTGTGGATTTCCCAGCTGGCCTTAGATGCCTCTCCTGCTGACAAACATGTTGAGCTGATGTCGGGCTCGACGGTCTGTCCATTTCTGCACAGTTAAAGATTTTCAGTAATATTTCCTCTTCAGTTGGAATATCTTTCTCTTTCCATTTTTGAGCGAAGGCTATTTGTGCCGCTGTGAGTATATGCAGTAATAAATAATTTGTATCTTTCTTATATTTTCTTTCTATAATTCCCAATAAGAAAATATTTCAGTCTTCTGTGTGGGCGGGAGGCTCCTCACAGTTCCACTATAGATCCATATGTAGGGGCTTATATTATTGTGCGGCAGCTAATCCTGGTGCTCTCAGTGCTGCCCCAGGAACCCATGTGATCTGGCTCCACTCAAAATGTTGGTTTGGGCCTATGAAGCCCTATGTGACTCAGTTCCCATGGTGTCTGCTGCCCAGATTTAGATCTTCTGATGCCTGCTCCCACAGTAGTGTCCAAAATCCTCCTCCTCCTCCTCCTCCTCCTCCTCCTCCTCCTCCTCCTCCTCCTCCTCCTCCTCCTCAAAGGGCTACCCCGCTATTTAGAAATTCTAAATTTACTGGACTTGAACATTTTGACTCTACAAAAAACCACCTTAGTCGGAACAGCTTACATCCTCCGACGATACCTTAACAGTTCCTAGGTCCTTGGTTAGGACTCAAGCTGTTGAGTTATTAACCAGCCTCAAAGGCTGTGAATCTCACTAAAGATTAACCAATCATCATCATCATCATCATCATCATCATCATCATCATCATCATCATCAAGACAGCAATTGCAGCAACATGGCAATCCCCGTCCATCAAGGTTGTATGCATTTGCAAAGAGCATAGCTTCAGCCACATTGCTGCAATTGGCATGTTTGATTCCCCACCACCCAGTCAGAGCTGAAGAAACTTCTTGGATGAGAAGCGAAACATCTTCAAAGAAAGGTGCTGAAAAAGCACCTTTGGGACATCCCTCCTTGTTGATACCAATCCCAAGAGGAGTAAGACGTCTGGTCTGGTGGCACTCCTTTTTAGCGATGGCACATTCTTCCACCCTTTTCAAAGTGAAGATCATATTGCTCCCAATGACTTTGTGGAAATGGGGCATCCTTCTGTGCTGACATTCTTAAGGTTACATTTTGGGGTTCTTTTATGGGACTTGCTTTGTACTGGGCCTTTTTTGATTTTTAATGTCTGCTTTGCAAACTGCCCAATGGAGAAGGTGGTAGATAAATCTGCATCTAAATAGTTATTTGAATTGGATGCACCGCATGAATACGTGACTCAGAAAATGACTCATTTTCCATTTTCAACTGTATCGGTGCCATTTGCTGTGTGCCTCGGGGAAGGAGGTACGTTGCATCGATGCTGTTTTGTTTTTAGAAAACCGTGACATCCTTGCCTTCCAAAAGCATTCTTAAGTTTGAATTGTGGAACCTGCCAGCTCACACCTTGTGACATTGAAGCTCTCCCTTTTGGCACCCATGTTCATATATAAAATGAAGGTAAATTCACAGCCATGCCAAATGCCAAACTGGAGGAGGAATGGCTAAAACAAGGTTGGAAGTAATTATGGTTAGCAACTCATCTATACATAGCTTTCCATTTGCACAACCACCTCACAATTTAAGGTAGAGAAGAGAGAGAGGGAGGGAGGGAGGGAGGGAGAGAGAGAGAGAGAGAGAAATTTTGATCCCTTTTGTTGAATGTTCCTCTGATCAGCCTTCTAACTTACTAAATTTCTTTCTTTCTCTGAAATCCCTTTTAGAAGTAATTATAGGAAATTGAAAAACTGCAATATACTATGTTAGAAATTAAATTCATCAGTAAGACAGTAGCGGGAAGAAGGGGGAAAAAAAAGCAAAGGCAATGAATTAATGAGTTATTATGTTTTATAATCAATTTCTAGAGTGCTGAATGTAGTCTTTACAACTTGGAACATTTATAATGTAGCAGAACATGGATGAAGGATGGCTGGATGTTGGATTGAATCCAAGCTAAGTAAATTAAGCTTTCTCCATGGAAATCACTTTGTCCAGTTAGTCAATATTTAAATCTCAGTGATTTTAGTGATAACTAATTTCATTTAACTTAGCGGTAACACATTTCACTTAACTTAGTCCACATCGAATTTACTATCTCCTTACACTTCTAAGTATATTTTAATAATGGATACATTCAAAAATAGCACTGACATTTTAAAGCCCTGAATAGCTGAGGTCCAATCACCCAAGAAATCACCTATTTTACACCAGCTTTTTACTTTTCAATCAGTGGAACATCTTGCCTTCAGAAGTTGTGGGTGCTTCATCACTGGAGGTTTTGAAGAAGAGACTGGACAATCACTTGTCTGGAATGGTATAGGGCAGTGATGGCTAACCTTTTTGCCATCACGTGCCAAAAGCGGGGGAAGTGTAGGGGGGTGTCACATGCGTGCATGCCCACACCCATAATTCAATGTGCCCCGCCCCCCCCACGTATGCGCACGTGACACCCCCCTGCTCCCGTCGCTTTTGGCACGTGATGGCCTGGTGGGCCCGGTAAGCCCATTTTTCGCCCTCCCCAGGCTCCAGAGGCTTTCTTGGAGCCTGGGGAGGGCAACAACGGCCTTCCCCACCCTTCCAGAGGCCCTCTGGAGCTGAGCTAGGGCAATGCTCGCGTGCCCACCAATATAGTTCCGCGTGCCACAGGTGGCACGCGTGCCATAGATTCACCATCATGGGTATAGGGTCTTCTGCTTGAACAAGGATTTGGACTAGATCCAAAGCACCTGAAGGCCAGACAAGGAATAATGGATGGACACTGATCAAGGAGAGATTCAACGTAGAAATGAGGAGGAACTTTCTGACAGAACAATCAACCAATGGAACAGAAGTTTCCTTCAGAAGTTGTGGGAGCTTCATCACTGGAAGCTTTCAAGAAAAGATTGGACTGCCATTTGTCAAAAATGATGTAGGGTCTCCTGTTTGAGCGGGGGGCTGGACTAGATGACCTATAAGGTCCCTTCCAACTCTGTTAATCTGTTAATCTGTAAAACCTCTAAAGTCCCTTCCACCTCTATTCTATTCTAATGAATCCTCCCCTCTCCTCTCCTCTCCTCTCCTCTCAAGATAGATATCAAACCTTGTACATTTCTCTACTTTACTGAATTTATGGCTCCAGTATCCTTGTGAGGACATATCCAGAATCTATTTTTCCCTCCTGGACTGTATTTCAGGAAGGTGGAGAGGCTAGTCATAAGTCAGGAGTTTTTTAAGAAGCTGCTATCTTGCCTCCTCCACCACTTGGAAGGATATGAAAGTGTATTTCATCTCTAAAAAAGACCAAAAAGAGTATACTTAACTTTTCCCTGAATATGTTTCCCAACAGAGAAACAGTCCTGGGGATAGCAAAATTCTGAGAAGTTTGGCCTGAATTCTTCAGCCAATTCAAGGAAGGTAAGATAAGGGAGAGGGAAGAATTTCAAAACGTTCCTTCCATCATATTTAGCCGAGTGTATCCATTGCTATCAGTTTCCCAGGACTGACATCAATGAAAGAAATAAATGCAAGGTTTTTGTGTTCTTCATTTTTCATTTTCCATGAAAGATGGTTGAAAGAGTTGAGCAGATTCTCTCCTGAATACTGAAAATGCCGTAAAAGAATCCAGAGAAATAAAGACAGGTTGAGAGAAGGTTTTTATTTTAGTTTCAGCAAATGTTTTGCACAACAATTTCCCAGAAGGATCAAAAGTCCAGCCAATATTTTTCTTTCTTTCTTTCGAAATAAATGCAACAAGTAATGATGTTCCAGGTTATAGATGGAGGGGTGATATTGGAGATTTATGGCCTTACTGTTTGGTTTATGCAACATTTTCTATCTGAGCTGATATGAAGCTCTTGAGAGAATAATTTGCAGTTGCTCACAGAATTGCTATTTCACAACCTCTGGAGTGTATTGAGATTGACACCTGTCAGAGCTCCATTATGACAATTTCCACTGCTGTTTAAAAGTTACCATTAGCAACCTGTATAATAGTTCCAAACAGGGACATGTTAACCTTTCTGATGTTCAGAAGTTTAACCTTTTACTGCATTTTCCTTATGAATTCAGTTCTTTTGTTTTAATTTCATTTTAAAAACGTCTCACTTCAAAAGTGAATTTTCCCAGAGCTGTTTGTAATATATTTGCAATCTAAATTGGATTTAAAAATTCTTTCAAAGGAGAAGATAATTTGGAAGAAAATCTCATGCAAGATTATGTGTAACCTATTTTGTTATGAGCTGTGTGAATGCCCTTACAATCCTTTCCAGAGGCATTTGAAACCTCTCTGGCCTTCCCACTTTTTCATTAAATCTAAAGAGAGAACACTTCAAAAAAAGCTCTTTCCAAGCTCTTTCCAAGGAACTTTCTTGCCTATGATGCATTTGATGGGCAGAATTGTGAAAGACCACTTATGCTGAGCTGTAGTTCTTGCTTTTTCCTCTTGCCCCTTTTACCCAGTTTACAAAAAAAGGCAGTCCAGCCATCAGCTAACAAGTTGGAAGAGCAGGAAGGTCAAACATAGTGGAAATAGCAGTAGCAGTTAGATTCACATACCATTTCATAGTGCTTTACTGTCCTCTCTAAGTGGTTTATGGAGTAAGCATATGGCTCCTCAATTTACTGACTTCAGAAGGACGGAAGACTGAGTCAATCTTGAGCCGATTAGGACCGAACTCCTGGCTGTGAGCAGAGTTGCCTGCAATACTGTTTTTCCAACCACTGTGCCACCACAGTGTGTGCACATAGCCTCCTTCTCACTATATAATGCTCACTGTTTTTCATACATCATACACAACATTATTATTATTATTTATTTTTCTAAAGGACAAAATGAGTGTCTTTAAGGGTTTCAGATTCTCATTTTGCCTTTTAATTGCCCCCCTCAATTGAAACATATATTTCTGTATATGGAAACGGATTATAGTCTGCCCACTTTGGCTTGCTATGGGATGCTGCCAGTTTGTTAATAGGGGCTGCCCAGTTGTTGATAGTTGGGGCGGGAGGAAAGTTTTTACTTAGAGATGCAGAAAACAAAGATGCTCTCTTTTTCTTGCCGTCTCTTTTTTCTTCTTTGTCTTGAATCAAGTTAGAACCAAGAGAGACGGAATAATAGGGTACCTTGGAGGTCTTTTAAACTGCCTGCCCAAGACAGGAGACCTTATACCATTCTGGACAAATGGACCTCCAAACTTTTTTTGAAAGCTGTTTCTCAACACATCTATTTGTTGTGTATGGGGGCCTTTTTCAGTCAGGTGCTGATTAAAAAACTAGGAGACTGTGAGTTCTAGCACCACCTTAGTCATGAAAGATGACTGAGTGATTTTGGGTCCGTCACTTTCTCTCAGCCCAACCCACCTTACAAGGTTGCTGCTGTGGGGAAAATAGGAGGAGGAAGGGGTATTATGTATGTTTGCCTCAGGGGTGAAATGCTCCCGGTTCGGACCGGCTCGGGCGAGTAGGCAGTTTGGAGAACCGGTAGCAAAAATCCCTGCCCCCGCCCCTCCCATGCCCAGCTGAGCCAGGCGATCATCAGAGGCTTTTTTTCTTTTAAATGCTCTGAAGATCAGGCAACTCAGCTGGGATCGTCAGAGCCACTTAAAAGAAAAAAAACTTTTTTTCTTTTAAATGGCTCTGACGATCCAAGCTCTGACGATCCCAGCTGAGTTGCCTGATCGGCAGAGGGTTTTTAAAAAACCCTCTGACGATCAGGCAACTCAGCTGGGATCGTCAGAGCCTTTTGAAAGCATTTTTTTACATGGTTTTACATGTAAAAAATGGTTTTAAAAGCAAAAAAAAAAATTGGCCACGCCCACCCAGTCACATTACACCCCCCCCCCCACTAAGCCATGCCCACAGAACCGGTAGTAACAAATTTTAGATTTCATCACTGGTTTGCCCCCTTCGGTTGTTGATTAAAAAATAATGAAGGTGGGGTAAAAAGTGTAAAACTTAATAAGAAAGGCACTTAATTCTAACTTCAAGGCTTTGAGTGTTGGCTTCTAAATGTTGAAGTGATGATGACCTTATCTGAGCTAGAGATAATCTTGGGAATCTCCTGGACCATAATGGCTTGACAATATCTTTAGGTGAAGGATACAAATGTTACATTATGGTGAAGCACTTCTTGTTTTTATTTTTTTGGTTACTAGGATTCATTACACACCAGTCAACTTCTCTATTCTCATATATCTTGGTCAAAAAGTTAACATATATGCAGACTTCCTGCACCAGATTCTGATCTGATTGTATGGAGCTGGGGGTAGATATACCATGGATGATCCCAGCAGAGAGATCTCTGCAGTGTCAACTTGCAAAGCTTTCAAGTTGCCATGAAGTTTCCATCTTTCGGAAACTTGTCATACAGGGTGGTTCTCAGGGGTGAAATCCAGCAGGTTCTGGAGAACCGGTAGCGGAAATTTTGAGCAGTTCGGAGAACCGGCAGCAGAAATTTTGAGTAGTTTGGAGAACTGGCAAATACCACCTCTGGCTGGCCCCAGAGTGGGGTGGGAATGGAGATTTTTCAACATCCTTCCCCCAGGAGTGGGGTAGGAATGGGGATTTTGCAATATCCTTCCCCCAGGAGTGGGGTGGGAATGGAGATTTTGCAGTATCTTTCCCCTACCACGCCCACCAAGCCACACCTACAGAACCCATAGTAAAAAAAATTTGGGTTTCACCACTGATGGTTCTCACTGTAGATTGTGTAGGAGGAAAGTCATTGTTAGTCTGTGGTAGTAAAAATATAATCAGCTCAGAAAAGCTTGTGCCCTTTAATAAAATGTGCTCGTTGGAAAAGATGCTACTGGACTCCTGATTTATTGTCCTACTTTGCATGTTAGGTTGTGCTGCTAGTTCTCTTGAACAAAGCGAGATTTACATCTGAATAAAAATGCTCCTTTTACAGTTTATAGGTAATACTGCGCACTACTGAATAATGTATGCATGATTATGACAAAAGTCTCTCTTAAGTAGTGTTTGCCTTTTCCAGGACATTAATATTTAGCTTATATCTGCAGGGTTAGTTGATTGTGGTGGAAAAATGGCCACAGTTGGCCAAGATCGATGCTTTGTGGATTTGTCCTGAAAGAGGCTTGCTGATGTTTTTTTTTTTTTTAAAGGGTATGTGTGAATATATCTGGCTGAAAGGATCTGCCAAGTTCCCTCAGGAAATTACTTAGTCCTTCCACAGAGATAAATGACATTGTCAACACTTAACTGAAACTGAACAGTATATTGATTAAGGTAATTAATAGTAAGTGAAATCTGCTTGACTCCAAATGTCTTCAGGGAGACCTTCAGGTAGTTTTCCTGGCAAGAATATGGAAGTGGTTTGCTTTTAAATGTCTCCAGGACGCTTATTTTAAATTTGTCTTACGTCCCTTGGATTATCTTGTGGTTTGTCATCTGGCTATTAACCAGGTCCTGCCCTAATTGACTTTTTAGAACTAGTGAACTTCAGCAAGCTACTGCCTTCTACCTAGATAAGGAAATTAAGGCATAGAAATTAAGAAATTGAGGGACTGTACTTTGAAGGGACAGTGTTGTGGCCCGCCAGCGGCCTGTGCAGCTGGTAGCTGATTCCGACAGCGAGGAGTCTGGTGTGGTGATTCTCCAGCATTCTGTGCAGCTGGCACCTGAGTCGGACAATGAGGAACAGGGGTGTGTTCTAATTTTTTTTTACTACTGGTTCTGTGGGCGTGGCTTATTTTGTGGGCGTGGCTTATTTTGTGGGCATGGCTTGATGGTCATGTGACAATTATTTAGGATTTAGCAGAGGTACTGGTCTACCAGAGGTACTGGTCTACCAAAAATAAATACCCATTTATTTTTGCAGGCACTGATCTACTCATGTATTTTTGCAGGCACTGATCTACTCATGTATTTTTGCAGGCACCGGTCTACTCATTTGTTTTCTTTTAACACTGATCAGCTGTAGGGCGGCTCTTTGAAGCCCCGTGGCAAGAGTTTAAACAGGTTTTTTTCCCTCTAGCCATCAGCTGGGACTCAGGAGGCAGCAATAGATTGGGGGTGGGGCCAAATAAATAGATAAGAATAATGCGGGGGGCGGGGAGGTGGCAGGGGGGCAGGGGGGGACGGAGGGGGCAGAACTGGTTCGGTGACATCATATTGTCACCACTACCGGTTCGGCGGAACCGGGCGGAACTGGGAGGAACCCACCACTGATGAGAAGGCTGCCAGCCAGGGCCTTCAGAACCTCCAGAAGCTCCCATAAGTGAAGAGGAAGAAGACGAGGAGCCTCTTCTCAATGCACGGGCGTGCAGAGCTGCCAAAAGGCAGGAATGTCTCCTCAGGAGGAGGTCTCCTCGAGAGTAAGGCTTGGGGCTAATTGGCCACTCCCCTAGCCCTAAAGAATGACGACGACTGAGGCAATTTGTAGAAAACAACTTAGTTCA